TCGTCACCGCCCGGAAAACGAACGTTGAAACCATTTAACAGCGTGTGTTGTGAGAGCTCGGCAGTACTCATTTTTGATGAGAACGCGATGAGCTTGATGACGGGTAAGTCTGAGTGAATCTTGTGACCATGTGCGTGTTGTACTCACGTGCGGCGAGGAGGAGGCGCACTGGGCAGTTTAAGTCTGAGTGTGAGCGTGTGAGCATGTGCGAGCTGTACTCACGTGCGGCGAGGAGGAGGCGCACTAGGCAGTTGAAGTCTGAGTGTGGGCGTGTGTGTGCGTACTAGCTGTACTCAGGTACTCAGTGAGGAGGAGGCGCACTAAGCAGTTTAAGGCAGAGTGTGAACGTGTGCGCGTGTGCGAGCTGTACTCACGTGCGGCGAGGAGGAGGCGCGCGCGCGAGGGCGGCGCGGGCAGCGCGGAGAGCGCGGCGGCGTAGGCCAGCAGCAGCAGCGCGGCCAGCAGCGGCGCCGCGGGCCCGCGCGCCATCAGCGGCAGCAGCAGCGCGGCCGACAGCAGGCGCGCTGCCAACACACACACATACACACCTCAAACAAACGCATTCTCGCAAAGCGCTCGCACAGTGCGGTATTGCGAGCGCCATACTTTACAAACCTTTCAGTCTCGCACTGCTATCATTAGGGTCATACCATAAACTTTATGGGGTACCGGTAGATCGGAAGAATATCTGCCTTCCCCCCGATTGATTGAATGATTTATTGATGTTCGCGGCCACGTCAACTGCTAAGATCATTATTCCCGTAAGTGTAGAGCATTTGTTGTTGTTGTGGGAGGCAGTGGTGATCTTCCCCCGGTGGAGATTCGGCGACGATCTATACGTTGCGACACGACGCGTCGGTTTGCGTGGTTTTTCTACAACCAGGTATTTTCCACTACGGCACTACATCAATTGATGCCCTGATCTACCTAAGTCGATCTGTTCCTCAACTGCAAAGCCTTGTTTAGGCATACATTTCAATGGTTACATATAGTAATCCACCGCTACGTAAATTGATGCCTCCAAAGATATTAAACCTGTCGTATCGAATGTCATTTTTAGTATAACGCAATTTTATAACCAACGCATTTTCACACCAAGTGATCCGCAAAATATCCAATGTGCTGAGTTCGCGAGGGCTTTCGGATCTCTCGCGACCTGGTTCGAGCCTCTATCTCATTCTCTCTTTTTAGAGAATTTATTTCAAAGGGAACAGTACAGTAAAAATAATGTCACTTACACATATTACTACGTTTAGAAACGCGTTTGTATTCTTATACGCGTCAGTATAGCCTTGATATATTAACAAAAAAGGTTGAAGCATTCACCCGATCATCCTGGTGCCTAATATTGTTGAGATAATATACAAATATTAAAAAATGTATTACGGAAATAGAAAATCTCTCTTAAAAAAAATTAAAATGTTTTTATATATGTATGAACTAAAACATCAACCACCAGAGGGTGGAAACACCATCCCACCAGAGGGTGGGAACTGCCGAATCGTCGGTGATGTTTGGTTAGCTCGATATAGGGAGCTCAAGTCTCTGAACGCATTAGCTGCGCTTTTAATTTTAAAGGCAGAGTTGATTTTGAGTCGTAGTGGACCCACTATGGCTTTCATCACATAAAAGTGAAAATTGTGAGAACATTTGGTTTTATTAGCAATTGGCACTGACTGAACGGTACATGGAATTAATTTTCTGAATTGATAATATTTAAATTGGTTTATGAATGAAACGTGGAAATTAGCGTTAGTTACGTACTTGCGACCAAACGCGTATACTGCTTGTATGAAACGTATATTTAACTAAAATAAAAATACGTTAATTCTGGAAAGCAATTATTTTAACTTTTTTCATTTAAATAAAACAAAGAGAACACGTTTTTTACATGTTGCACAAACTGTAATTTAATATTTTCGTGTAGAATTAGCGCAATGGTAATTATTGAAAGTATACATTTATAACACATATTTTTAAGTGATACCTTTTATGGAAACATTTTTAAATGTTGTTACGGTAGATATTATGGAAAAAAGATAGTAGTTACAATATTCTGACTGTAATTAATTTTTTCCCTCATCAAAAACTCGTTTAAAAGTTTCTAACCTTTAGAAAATTGTCTATTCAAAGAGACTAGAAGAACAAATACTATACTACACTATCTTAATAAATACACAACGACCAAAAACATTTCCTTATGAGAAATACATCGAGGAAAATAATTAGTAGATATGTATGAATGCGTAAATAAATAGATTTCATTTATTATTATGAATTACTGCAATTTATTACGGCTCAAGTAGAAGACACAGGAAAACAAGACAGTTGGATGGGAGCCACAGCCAAACAACAGCAAGACAGTGTCCCTAAATAAGCGAGACCTTACATCAGGAAAATATTTGGTTTAAGAAGCAACGAAATACATGAACATGATTTGCAAATAGTTTTAAATGATTTAACAAACAACGCACAATATAAGATAACGCATCGGCGTTATATCGTAATTAAGTCAAGGGGAATTTCTCCGAGAGCGTCGATTATGCGTTACATTTCACGAGGCGACCGAACAAATGAAGACAAAAAAGGAGCAAGTAAAGAACAAAATCTTCTTTCGCGTTACGTCCTATTGCGTATTGCGTAGCGAGGCTGCATCCTGGCGATATTCAGGGTACCGCGTTCGCTCTCCGCGACCTTCCAACGCAGAGACGAACAAATGCAATCTATTTCCGTCTGCGTATTTGTGCACGTTGGTCGAAGTACGCAGCAAAAACTCAGATGCTCCTGAATCATTTTGGGGTTTCTCGCAAACCACGTGGGTCCTGTTTACGAGACTCTGTGTCGAGAGGTGGTCGAGTCCAACTGCGTATATGTCAACAAGTTCCACGTCAATATGCCGTCGGAGTTGTGAAAAGTATTGGCTGCGCAGTAACCGAAAGTAAATTCGCGCCACGGTGTATGTTGGCAAAGCTTGGGGGCAAAGCGGATATGAGTATTAATAATCTTGGTACGTTTTTTATGTAGGGATACGATTTCTTGAGATACATTTAAGTACTCGAATCTCGATATTTCATTTCTTTCTCCATGTACATGCCGTCATTTCAAAGTTAAAAACATGAACAAATATTTATAAGAAAAAAATCCATTTTAAAAAGTTTTTAATAACACTTTATGTTCGGTAATAATGACACTATGAAGTACTACATTGTAACAAGAAAATAAATTTCCAGAGAACATCAGCAAATGGTAAAATAGATTTAGTAAACTTGTTTTAAGGCCTGTGCTATTAAGTATTGCAGAATTAACATATGTTTGCAGTGAAAACACGCATGTTAGTATTGATCAATAAAAATTTGTTTGCCGCAGGGAAATGTCTTATAACTGGTATTTGTAAAATAAATTTTATTAACTGTTCATTTGCCGGATGAATCAAAAACATTACAGCTGTTTGTTGCAATCATGTATATGAGTGAGTAAAAAACTTTTCAATTTAATTATTTCTAAAGATTGTTTCGATTTTTGTGATCTGAGCTGGCGCCAAATTCCACTCCATTGCCAGAGGTTTGGAAGAAATTTCAGAAGGCAACGTACTTTGACTTAAAATAATAAAAAAAATTATACTCACAATATCTAAGACAACTTTGCTCAATTCAGAGCGTCTACCAGTGAAAGTAATCTCTGTTCGTTCAAAGAGAACATTTCATTTCAGCTTCAAACAGCAACAAAACATTAAGACCTCCATTAACGCAATTTGTTAGCAGTAACATGAAATTCGTGCTTTTATATTAATTTAAGAACACAAACTATACCTACCAATTTTTGGTTCCCACTAAACCGACCCAGATAATTTTACATCGGGTTTACAAACCTTTCAAACGAGTACGCGTGTACCACTACTCGCCGCCAACTGAGCCACATGGAAATACCCGCGGAAAAACAGGTATGTTTTCAAACACACGCCCCCCCCCCTCGCCCGCGTGGCGGAGTGGGGCGAGGTGAGGCGTGGCGGAGCGTGGCGGGGTGGGGCGGAGGCGGAGGCGGCGCGACGCCAGTGCGCGGGCGCCGACCCCGCGCGTATTTGCGTCGTGCGACGTGGCAGAGGAGGCGCCGACCGTTGCCGCCGCCGCCGCGTGGCCTGGGCGAAGGGCCCTCCCGGCGTCTGCACTGGAACGCGCGGACTAACTATGTTGCGGAACGGGGGAG